ATAATTAATAGAACCGAAATCCATAAATGAAAATGAATATTAATTAAATGAGTGCATGTTAATTAGTTGATAAATAATATTAGAGAATTTATACATTAATAAAAGTACACAGGTGAAATTAATTTATCAAATGTACATATACATTGATGTTAACTAAATAAATTAAATGCATATTGAAAAACGAAAAGTAAGGCATTATTAAAGTAATTAAATTATAATAGAGTTAGAATCGTCTAAAAAATGATTTTCACTTGCTATGATATTAAAATAATTAAATTATTGCAAGGCATTATTCAAAAACTTTTTCCCCCAATAAGCTTAAGTGATTGTTTGGTATGGATTTTGATAATTGATTTTTTGACTGTTAGAGATAAAGTGGGTCCTACCCGTAAGAGAAGAATTCAAAAAATAACGGCTGAAATAGTGACATAGCGGTAAAAAAATTGATTTTAATTTGCTTTTAAGATGCACCAAACAAGCACTAAGTTAATAGATTGACATCAACTCTAGAGTATCTTAAGCCACGTTTGACAGTCATTATTTGAAAAAGAAAAAGAAAAAAAAGTAATGTTTTGATTAGTTATTTTTACGAGAATATGTGGGTAAAAAATAGAAAATATTTTAAATTTATATACAAAATATTTTATTGTATAAATTTGTAATTTAAAATGAGTATGTCGAAAAAAATAAAAATTCAAATAATAGTTCTCAGGCTTATATTGAAAGTTTTAACAACTCTATTTGACCAAATACGTTGAACAATGCTTTCACACTGTACCAACCAAAAGTTGACTAAAATTAAAAAATTGAATTCTTTTTAATATATAAATAATTTTGGTACTTCTATCAGGTAAGAGATGCGATTTATTAGTTAATATCTATAGAGTATAGACAACCTAACAAATTAGGAATCACATTTAAAACAGAACTTTATTAGGAACGACCTTTCTGCTATTATAAATATATGTTATAATTACTCATTTAAGAATGAAGATACTTTTTCGCTCGTTGCATGTACCAATCTAAAAATTTAAACATCTACATCGAATTCATTTGCACATTTGTCACACACATATAAAATTTTTCATGTAAAAAATTTTCCGTAATTCAATGTTTAATTATTTATTTTTATTATTTTGTGAAAGCAACGATTTAATATTTTAGCGACTAATATAATAGTTAAAAATGATGGAAACTTTTCAAGTAATTATCATGATTAAACTAAAAAGAGATATGACGAGACTATAAGGGAGGTGAGTTGAGATCTGCTGTCATACTGTTAGCTATCTATTTGCTATATGCTTAAGAATTTATTAACACATCATTTTAAATTAACATGTCAAACTTTTTTTCACTATTAATTATATTTAAAAATTGCGTAAAATTATTGGATAGACAGTAAGTTGGATAGCAAATCGCAACGTTGGAGATGAGAAATGTGCTTGCATACGCACCCAACTATTCAATTGATTACGAAAGCCTGATGACGTTCTCGCGTCCGTCGATTAACGTCCATGTGTCTTATAGCATTATAAATGCATTCTTGTTTCCAAACAAAATTCAATTGCCATCCCATTTCACTGTTTAAATCATGGACCAATTGAAGCCAAGTTCTCCCAATTCAAGTCCACTCACACCCATCGGATTCCTGGAGAGAGCAGCCACTGTCTATGCCGATTGCCCATCAATTCTTTATAATTCCGCCACCTATACTTGGTCGGAAACTTATGTCAGGTGCCTGAAGTTGGCATCTTCAATTGTATCGTTGGGAATCAAGAGAGGCCAGGTGGTTTCTGTGTTGGCGCCAAATGTCCCCGCCATGTACGAGCTTCATTTCGCCATACCTATGGCAGGCGCGGTTCTTAATACCATCAATCTCCGCCTCGATGCACGCACCATCTCCGTCATCCTCCGCCATGCCGAATCGAAGCTTGTGTTTGTTGATTGTCAATCAGAATCTTTGGTTGTTGAGGCCTTGTCTTTATTCCCATCGAATTCTCAACGTCCTCTTCTTGTTTTTATCACTGATGATGGATTTGAATCCCCTGAGTTCTATAGGAATTATGAGGGCATGGTCCAAGATGGTGATTCGAAATTCAATTGGGTACGCCCTGAAAGTGAATTTGATCCTTTAACGCTGAATTACACCTCCGGAACAACCTCTTCGCCAAAAGGAGTAGTCCATAGCCACCGTGGGACATTCATTGTTTCGATGGATTCGTTACACGAGTGGTCAGTGCCAAAGGAGCCGGTATACTTGTGGACTCTGCCCATGTTTCACGCCAATGGCTGGAGCTTCACATGGGGGATGGCAGCGGTGGGCGCCACCAACGTCTGCCTCCGGAAATTTGATACGACTGTCATCTACACCTTGATACGTAATCATAAAGTGACCCACATGTGTGGTGCACCCGTGGTGCTTAACATGCTATCAAATGTTCCAGACGGAAGTATAGCGCTAGAAAGCCCAGTTCACGTAATAACAGCCGGAGCGCCGCCGGCAGCGGCTGTGCTGTTCCGAACTGAATCGTTGGGGTTTATTGTGACTCATGGGTATGGATTGACGGAAACTGGAGGTCTGGTTATCTGTTGCTCGTGGAAGCAGAAGTGGAACAAATTGCCTGCAACTGAACGGGCCAGGCTCAAGGCCAGACAGGGAGTTAAGACTCCTGGAATGGCTGAAGTTGATGTGATAGACCCTGAATCAGAAAAGAGTGTCAATCGGGATGGGAAAACACTGGGTGAAATTGTACTGAGAGGAGGTTCTGTAATACTGGGATACCTCAAAGACCCTCAAGCCACCTCAAAATGCATGAAGAATGGATGGTTTTACACAGGCGATGTTGGTGTTATGCACCCTGATGGGTACCTGGAAATCAAGGACAGATCAAAGGATGTGATTATTAGTGGTGGGGAGAATTTGAGCAGTGTGGAAGTTGAATCTGTTTTGTACATGCACCCGGCGATCAACGAGGCCGCGGTGGTGGCGCGGCCGGACGAATTCTGGGGTGAAACGCCGTGCGCTTTTGTCAGCTTGAAAATTGGGGCGAAGGAAAATCTGACGGAAAAAGACGTGATGGTGTTTTGCAGGGAAAAATTGCCGCGGTATATGGTGCCAAAGACGGTGGTTTTCAAGGATGAGCTTCCCAGGACGTCCACTGGAAAAATTCAAAAGTTTGTGCTCAGAGAAATGGCCAAGAAGATGGGGTCGATCAAGACGAGTAGGCTCTAGCGAGTTGGAAGGGAGTCAACTCAGTCCGAGTTGAGATGTTAAGAGAAAAAATCAATTTCTAGTATTTGGGAAATTCAGGCACAAAACTTTTCACGCTATCGTTTTCTCTTTTCTCTGTTTTTTATTATTATTTCTCGTTGATGAGTCTAATGATCACAAATAATCCTCCTCAACTTTGTGGTAACAATAATTCTTCTCAGGCAGGGGGCCTACATGGCCCTGTATCTCCGGCATAATTCTTGTGGTAAAGAAGCCGACATGAAGACTTCCATTGATCAAGGCGCGTCGGTGTAGTGAGTGAGGACAGAGTCAATCCAATTCGAATTGCGATGTACAAAAGTCCATTTGTATTATTATCTTGTCCCAATTATATAAACTAGTTTCATTTTTCACATGATTAATAATTTTTTTTAATATCATTGAAAAGTTAATTTTTGTTAAAATTTTTTCTAGTTTATTCCTATTTAATTTTTAGTATATGGTAGTAAATTACTATTGAAATTAGTAAAGAATTTGAATAATTTAATTTGAATAAGAATAAATGAAAATTGTTTCATGTTTTCAAGAAGTGGGAGATGTGTATATTTGAATGATTTTAAGAAGTTGACATATTTAGCCCCTGTTTGTTTCCCATTAAAATGAAAATCTGACCGTTATCCATCATATCAAGCCACCATATTTAAATTTCTATATCTTGTGTGAGATCCGTGATGACTATATTTTTTATTCTCATTTTTAGATAAATGAGAAACAAACGAGGCCTTAAGTTGGGAAAATTGAATAAAAGTATAAAACAAAATATTCTAAATTAGGACAAACCTATATATTTTGGACAAGAAAAAAAGGAAACTCGGCCTATATAATGGTGACGGATGGAGTATTTGGAAATTTTCAGCACAAAATCATAATCACAATAAGATATACGTTGATTGACACGAATCGTCTCTATTGTTCGCATATTTTTACGCAAATCATCTTTATCGTTTCAATTTTGACATTTCACACTCATAATCAACAAACATTTCACTAACCTTCTATGTCGTTCATTTCCTCCATTAGATTAAATAAACAAAAAGAAAAAATGAAAGTAAAGAAATGACTGCAATCAAAGTTTCAAATTATTTCAAAACCTACAAACAAGTCCCATTTCATTCAACCCTTATTTGATTCACTTTAAAATTTCAATAAATTTTTTCTCTCTTCTTTTCAACTACATATTTTTCAATAAAATAATATTACACGTAAATAAAAAAAATTTTCCTTATTTTTAACCACATATTCTTTCAAAAACTACTATTTTAAAATACATTTTATCCGAATTTCTCATTATAATGGTTGTCAAATAGGGCCTCAACTAGTACCAAGCACGTGCTTCGCACGTTTTATGTATTGGATAAATGATATGCGTAATATTTTTGAAGTATTAATACCTTTTTTAAAGTTGTTGAGGTAATTAAAAATTAAAATTATTAAAAATAATAAATATATGAATATAACTTTTTATGGAATTCTGAATATAATGTGAAAATGTTAAATAAAATGAAATATAATATTTTGATTACAAAAACACTTCTTTTTATACAGTATTTTTTGTCAACTTCACACAGCTTTTTATCTTTTTATTTGTAGTTCACATAATCACAAATATGTAAACCATATTCACACACAATTTATTGAAACACACAATATTTCAAGTAAAGACACAAAAAAGCACCAAAGTGGATAATATATATCCAATCCTGAATGAAGAATCAAATTGTATATGAATTTTTTTTTTTATTGAAAAAACAATCTTCTAATAGATGTAAACATTAATTCTTACAAAATTGAAAGAAGCTACTGTAGAAAAGAGTATTGACATGAGTATAAAATTTGGAGAGCAATTATAATTTTGAGGTACAGTAATTTAAAAATTCAAATAAAAAAGAAATATGAATTTCTGGACTAGAAATATAGAAATTACAAAATGAAAGGAAGAATCAAATAAAAAAAATCTACATAAAAAAAAAATAAAAAATCTTGCGAATGAATAACCAAAAATATAATATATGTAATAAGTGGATTCCATGATACCATCCATTTTTATGCTTAAAAAAAAAAATTAAACATGAAATAACTCAATAATATATTAATATTTTTTACAATTAATTTATTTTTATTGATATTTAAAATTTTGGTTTTAGTGGGAAATGTGTAATTGAGGTGTGAAATTTGTAATTAGTGGGGTGGATACAAATATGGGAATATTAAGTACATCGTAATTATTAGGAGTAATTAGTAAGTTTTTAAGATTGGCGGCTAATTAATTTCTCTTCTCTTTGACTCTTCACCTTATCGCCTTTAAGCAACTTTTTCTTTTCAATTTATTGTCCTTTGTATTTAAATAATTATTTCATCTATTATTTTAATTTAACATACGATTTATGACATTATGATTGAAACGAAGACAAGGT